TGTCTTTAGAGCTCCACAGGTGAGACACGACGTGTGTTTCTGTCTTTAGAGCTCCACAGGTGAGACACAACGTGTGTTTCTGTCTTTAGAGCTCCACAGGTGAGACACGACGTGTGTTTCTGTCTTTAGAGCTCCACAGGTGAGACACGACGTGTGTTTCTGTCTTTAGAGCTCCACAGGTGAGACACAACGTGTGTTTATATCTTTAGAGCTCCACAGGTGAGACACGACGTGTGTTCCTGTCTTTAGAGCTCCACAGGTGAGACACAACGTGTGTTTCTGTCTTTAGAGCTCCACAGGTGAGACACAACGTGTGGTTCTGTCTTTAGAGCTCCACAGGTGAGACACGACGTGTGTTTCTGTCTTTAGAGCTCCACAGGTGAGACACAACGTGTGTTTCTGTCTTTAGAGCTCCACAGGTGAGAGACAACGTGTGTTCCTGTCTTTAGAGCTCCACAGGTGAGACACGACGTGTGTTCCTGTCTTTAGAGCTCCACAGGTGAGAAACGACGTGTGTTTCTGTCTTTAGAGCTCCACAGCTGAGAGACACAATGTGTCTTTAGAGCTCCACAGCTGAGAGACACAACGTGTGTTTATGTCTTTAGAGCTCCACAGGTGAGACACGACGTGTGTTTCTGTCTTTAGAGCTCCACAGCTGAGAGACACAACGTGTGTTTCTGTCTTTAGAGCTCCACAGGTGAGACGCGACGTGTGTTCCTGTCTTTAGAGCTCCACAGGTGAGACACAACGTGTGTTTCTGTCTTTAGAGCTCCACAGGTGAGACACGACGTGTGTTCCTGTCTTTACAGCTCCACAGGTGAGACACGAGGTGTGTTCCTGTCTTTAGAGCTCCACAGGTGAGACACGACGTGTGTTTCTGTCTTTAAAGCTCCACAGGTGAGACACAATGTGTGTTCCTGTCTTTAGAGCTCCACAGGTGAGACACGAGGTGTGTTCCTGTCTTTAGAGCTCCACAGGTGAGACACGAGGTGTGTTCCTGTCTTTAAAGCTCCACAGGTGAGACACAATGTGTGTTCCTGTCTTTAGAGCTCCACAGGTGAGACACGAGGTGTGTTCCTGTCTTTAGAGCTCCACAGGTGAGACACGAGGTGTGTTCCTGTCTTTAGAGCTCCACAGGTGAGACACAATGTGTGTTCCTGTCTTTAGAGCTCCACAGGTGAGACACAACGTGTGTTCCTGTCTTTAGAGCTCCACAGGTGAGACACGACATGTGTTTCTGTCTTTAGAGCTCCACAGGTGAGACACGACGTGTGTTTATGTCTTTAGAGCTCCACAGGTGAGACACAACTTGTGTTTCTGTCTTTAGAGCTCCACAGGTGAGACACGACGTGTGTTTATGTCTTTAGAGCTCCACAGGTGAGACACGATGTGTGTTTATGTCTTTAGAGCTCCACAGGTGAGACACGACGTGTGTTTCTGTCTTTAGAGCTCCACAGGTGAGACACGACGTGTGTTTCTGTCTTTAGAGCTCCACAGGTGAGACACAACTTGTGTTTATGTCTTTAGAGCTCCACAGGTGAGACACGACGTGTGTTTATGTCTTTAGAGCTCCACAGGTGAGACACGACGTGTGTTCCTGTCTTTAGAGCTCCACAGGTGAGACACAACGTGTGTTTCTGTCTTTAGAGCTCCACAGGTGAGACACAACGTGTGTTTCTGTCTTTAGAGCTCCACAGGTGAGAGACAACGTGTGTTTCTGTCTTTAGAGCTCCACAGGTGAGACACGACGTGTGTTTCTGTCTTTAGAGCTCCACAGGTGAGACACGACGTGTGTTTCTGTCTTTAGAGCTCCACAGGTGAGACACGACGTGTGTTTCTGTCTTTAGAGCTCCACAGGTGAGACACGACGTGTGTTTCTGTCTTTAGAGCTCCACAGGTGAGACACGACGTGTGTTCCTGTCTTTAGAGCTCCACAGGTGAGACACAACGTGTGTTTCTGTCTTTAGAGCTCCACAGGTGAGACACAACGTGTGTTTCTATCTTTAGAGCTCCACAGGTGAGACACAACGTGTGTTTCTGTCTTTAGAGCTCCACAGGTGAGACACGACGTGTGTTCCTGTCTTTAGGGTGATGTCTACTGTGTTCTCAAACTGAAGCTGTTTGAGTTCAAGCTGATTCATTGCAAAGGAACATTATTATTCTTTATAGTAAGAATATAGTAACCTTTAAGTCACACACACACACACAGTAAACACACACACACACACACACGATGTTCTGTAGCCTCTGATAATCGATAGGGATGGCGGCTCGCAGACAGAGGGCATTATGGGAAAACAACGAGGTGCAGAGTGCAGACTGAAAGGATCGAGGGAGCAGACGAGGACACACACACACACACAGATTAGTCAACACTAACAGATGTCCTCACTCTGAGCTGCAGCAGCATTTAAATCTCTTCCTGAAGCACAACTCGTTGTAGTTTGTATTAACTGCGTTATCTATTAGGGCTGAAGGAGGAAACTCCAGCTCCTCCGTCAGGGCTTTGGATCGCAGCAGCCCAGGCACCCAGTCTGAAACCTGCTAATGCTAACCAAAGCATGCTAACACTTTTAAACTGAGCACAATGTAGAGCAAGTTCACCATCTTAGGCCCGGCCACACGAGGACGATAATATCGATACTATCTGCTACAGTTCACTATCAGATAGAGCAGTGGTTCTCAAACTTTTTTCAATCATGTAGCCTACCCCCTTTGAAAACAAAATGTCAGCCAAGTACCCCCTGATCAGCGCAAACACAATTTGTTAGGGAAAAAATGCCTATATAAAGAGGTACAGCACAGCGCTGCACCATCAGGGTCTGATTTATTAAAACAACAACAGTAACTGAGAAACACTTAAATGCTACATTTCAAATGTTTACAATCCATCACTAAATTCATGGAAAACCAATCTTAACATTAAGCAATAACACTAAGACGACATTAGTTACATTGAACTGATCTTTTTAATAAGATGTACTCAATGTAGTGAAACATGGGCTTGAGCTTCACTGAGGACCTTTGTCATTCTGACAGGGAGGCACCTGCAGTTATTACACAAACCCACACTGCTCAAACTTTGTTACGTTTATGTATTTATTTATTTTGGGGCATGGGGAATGAAGAGAAAAAAATATATGAGCATTTTATGAGCATGGGATTTTGACCCCTCATATAAACATATGCATAATGCTATACTTTGCGGCCACACGCCGTTGCCAGGCAACACTTATTGTTTAGGTCCTTTGAAAAGCAGGCAGTCATATCATTAACTAGAACTAGCTAGATCTGATAGATTTGGACATAGACGCGAGTGAAGTCTAACCGGACGCGAGAGAGAGATCAGATCATAACGGAGAACACGCAGCTCTGCATGATCACAGCTCCGCCGCTGTGACGGATCGTTGAGCAGAGCAAAATACACTTAGACCTAACACACTTAGCTAGTTCATCTACTCTGGAACTAGCTAAACTAGTTATACATATATGTATTCTTTACTGTCGGGTCACTCATTACAGGTTCAGCGAGCTGCACGAGACTGACGGGCTGTCAGGAGAGGGAGAGGAAAAGAGAGCACCCCATTTACTTTTCCCATTTTATTATCCAGAATTACTGTAAATCTTTGAATAAAGTAGTTCATCTACTATTAGTAGTTTGTTTAAATGCATTACTTATGTTTTTTTTCTCATTAACATAAAATAAATCTCACGTACCCCCTGCAGTACTCCAACGTACCCCTAGGGGTCCGCGTACCTCCATTTGAGAACCACTGAGATAGACGTTTCGGCCACACGAGGCCGACATGGAAACGCAGAAAACATTAACGGGTCCCAAGGTGGGTAGATCTGCAAACGAAACGCTCTGGGAGGGCAAACGGCTCCGTGTTTACGCCTATACGATCATGTCTTGATACGTTGAAGCAATAGCCCCGCCTCTCCCGCCTCTCCCGCCTCTCCCGCCTCTCCCGCCTCTCCCACTCAGAGATCAGCTGCTGGGCTCTCAGGAGAGGGGAAAGAAAAGAGAGGCTCCGTTTATTACTATTATATAGTCATTATCAATATGTTTTAAAGCTCAATAAATAACAAAGAAGACCTCTGACCGGCACTTTTCTAATTTTGTCCGGAAGATTTAAACTTTAACGGACATGTTGACCAGCGAAAAAAACTGAAACTCTGCCGCACGGTCCCCTCGTCCCTTGGAAGAGGCGGAGAAGTGGGTGTTTGTCATCTGCTGGTGGACTACCGGAGAGAATTACAGCAGGAGCACACGCTCGCCTCGGGGAGGGAGAAAAAGAGCCAGAGCGGAGAATAAACAGAAGGGCAACCATGGCAACCATGGCAACCATGCGCGGGAAGTCTTCTTCGCTGCTTTTGTGGCAGGACTACAGCGCCACTTACAGGCCTGGCATACGTACTACAGCGTCTCTAGCGCGGTCTTGTGTGAACGGACACGTTTCTGGACGGAAGACTTTTTCGATAACGATTGCGGTCCGTTTGCGTTATCGACCTCGTGTGGCTCCAGCCTTAGTATCCTGAGTAGTATGGTATCTCCGGATCCTGGATCAAGACCATCATGTCGATCACAGCACAACAGATTCACATTGAGTCTGCTCTCTTAACTCATAAAGTCAAATGGTACGAATCATGAGCATCTGAGGACTCTGATTTAGAGATTTTTTCACACTAAAACTGCAAAAATGTAAGTAAAAAATGTATAACATTTTCACAAACACATTATAGTGAATCAAAATAAAGACTTATAGGGGATTAGTTTGCATTCTTATTAGCGCTTTTTCATTATAACTAACATTATTTCTAGTTAATGACTGCAGACAGGTGGACACAGAGTTTCTCAGAGGTTTTTTTTGAGTCGCCTGCTGGAGCATTAGCAGTGAATGGCATCGTTGTTACAGAAGAAGCAGATTATTCATATTTCAGAGGGTGATATTCCCCCTGCTGACAGACAGGAATGTGAGCGCTGTGAATCCCGAGCTCACCGGGCAGTGAAGGCATCGTGCAGGTGTTGGGTCCGGGTCTCTCGGGGTCTTCAGGGGAATATCTGGATTCCAGGATCTGGTGCAGGTTGAAATAATCTCTGTACCTCCGATAGATCAGATACTTCCCCCCGCCTTTAGTCCTCACTTCGATCACAAACAGCTGCAGGAGGAACGTTTCAGGGGTTTCAATAAAGTGTGAGGGGGTTTCAATAAAGTGTGAAGGGGTTTCAATAAAGTGTGAGGGGGTTTAAATAAAGTGTGAGGGGGTTTAACTAAAGCTTGAGGGGTTAAATAAAGTTTGAGGGGTTTTGAGGGGTTTTAAATTAAGTTTGAGGGGGTTTGAATGAAGTTTGAGGGGGTTAAATAGAGTTTGAGGGGGTTTAAATACAGTTTGAGGGGGTTTGAATGACGTTTGAGGGGGTTAAATACAGTTTGAGGGGGGTTTAAATAGAGTTTGAGGGGTTTTGAGGGGGTTTAAATACAGTTTAAGGGGGTTTAAATACAGTTTGAAGGGGTTAAATAGAGTTTGAGGGGGTTTAAATACAGTTTGAGGGGGTTAAATAGAGTTTGAGTGGGTTTGAATACAGTTTGAGGGGGGTTTGAATGAAGTTTGAGGGGGTTAAATAGAGTTTGAGGGGGTTTACATACAGTTTGAGGGGGTTTGAATGAAGTTTCAGGGGGTTAAATAGAGTTTGAGGGGGTTTAAATACAGTTTGAGGGGGTTTGAATGAAGTTTGAGGGGGTTAAATAGAGTTTGAGGGGGTTTGAATGAAGTTTGAAGGGGTTTAAATACAGTTTGAGGGGGTTAAATAGAGTTTGAGGGGGTTTAAATACAGTTTGAGGGGGTTAAATAGAGTTTGAGGGGGTTTGAATACAGTTTGAGGGGGTTTGAATGAAGCTTGAGGGGGTTAAATAGAGTTTGAGGGGGTTTAAATACAGTTTGAGGGGGTTTGAATGAAGTTTGAGGGGGTTAAATAGAGTTTGAGGGGGTTTAAATACAGTTTGAGGGGGTTTAAATACAGTTGAGGGGGGTTAAATAAGTTGAGGGGGTTTAATACAGTTTGAGGGGGTTTAATAGAGTTTGAGGGGGTTTGAATGAAGTTTGAGGGGGTTTACATACAGTTTGAGGGGGTTCGAATAAAGTTTGAGGGGGTTAAATAGAGTTTGAGGGGGTTTGAATACAGTTTGAGGGGGTTAAATAGAGTTTGAGGGGGTTTGAATACAGTTTGAGGGGGTTTGAATGAAGCTTGAGGGGGTTAAATAGAGTTTGAGGGGGTTAAATACAGTTTGAGGGGGGTTTGAATGAAGTTTGAGGGGGTTAAATAGAGTTTGAGGGGGTTTAAATACAGTTTGAGGGGTTTAATAGAGTTTGAGGGGGGTTTGAATGAAGTTTGAGGGGGTTTACATACAGTTTGAGGGGGTTCGAATAAAGTTTGAGGGGGTTAAATAGAGTTTGAGGGGGTTTAAATACAGTTTAAGGGGGTTTGAAATGAAGTTTGAGGGGGTTAAATACAGTTTGAGGGGGTTTACATACAGTTTGAGGGGGTTTGAATGAAGTTTGAGGGGGTTTAAATAGAGTTTGAGGGGGTTTGAATGAAGTTTGAGGGGGTTAAATAGAGTTGAGAGGGTGTTTAAAATAGAGTATTGAGTGGGTGTTAAATCAGAGGTTTGAGGGGGTTTGAATGAAGTTTAAGGGGGTTTAAATACAGTTTGAGGGGTTTGAATGAAGTTTGAGGGGGTTAAATACAGTTTGAGGGTGTTTAAAATACAGTTTGAATGTGGGGTTAAAGTAGAGTTTGGAGCGGGGTTTGAATTAAGGTTTTTAAGGGGGTTTAAAAATACAGTTGATGATGAGGGGGTTAAATAGAGTTTGAGGGGGGTTAAATAGAGTTTGAGGGGGGTTAAATAGAGTTTGAGGGGGTCTGAATGAAGTTTGAGGGGGTTTAAATACAGTTTGAGGGGGGGTTTTGATACAGTTTGAGGGGGGTTTTAATACAGTTTGAGGGGGTTTAAATACAGTTTGAGGGGGGTTTAAAACATTACGTACGAAGTAGTCGATGAAGCCTTTCTTCTCCTCGATGTCGGCGATGGGTGGCGCTGATGGGGATGTTGTGAGGAAGCTGATCGAAGTCACTGAGAGGAGGAAATCATTTAGATAATGTAATCATGTTTTATAACAGGATTACTGTGTACTTCTACTCACTACAGTTCAGAGGTACATGGTGTACTTCTACTCCACTACAGTTCAGAGGTACATGGTGTACTTCTACTCCACTACAGTTCAGAGGTACATGGTGTACTTCTACTCCACTACAGTTCAGAGGTACATGGTGTACTTCTACTCCACTACAGTTCAGAGGTACATGGTGTACTTCTACTCCACTACAGTTCAGAGGTACATGGTGTACTTCTACTCACTACAGTTCAGAGGTACATGGGTGTACTTCTACTCCACTACAGTTCAGAGGTACATGGTGTACTTCTACTCCTCTACAGTTCAGAGGTACATGGTGTACTTCTACTGCACTACAGTTCAGAGGTACATGGTGTACTTCTACTCCACTACAGTTCAGAGGTACATGGTGTACTTCTACTCCACTACAGTTCAGAGGTACATGGTGTACTTCTACTGCACTACAGTTCAGAGGTACATGGTGTACTTCTACTCCACTACAGTTCAGAGGTACATGGTGTACTTCTACTCCTCTACAATTCAGAGGTAAAAGGTGTACTTTTCCTCCACTACATGTATTTAATACCTTTAGTTACTTCACAGATCTGGATGAATGATGTGAAATCTAATCAAGTGTTGAATCAGACTTTAGTTCCACCTGGAGTAAATCCACCAGCTACCCTGCAGTATACAAAGCCATTCAAACTAGCTGCACCTTCACCAGCTTTGAGAACACTTTCATGATCAATCATTATAAAACATATCATATATATTATTCTGAAATGGACCAATCTGCACAACGACTACTTTTACTGTACTTTGATGATAATACTTTTCTACTTTCACTTGAGGAACATTTTGAATGCAGGACTTTTACTGTAACAGAGTATTCCTCCTACACTCTGGTACTTCTACTTTTACTCAAGAACAAGACCTGAGTACTTCTACTTTTACTCAAGAACAAGATCTGAGTACTTCTACTTTTACTCAAGTACAAGATCTGAGTACTTATACTTTTACTCAAGTACAAGTCTACTTTTACTTTACAAGATCTGAGTACTTCTACTTTTACTCAAGAACAAGATCTGAGTACTTCTACTTTGACTCAAGTACAAGTCTACTTTTACTTTACAAGATCTGAGTACTTCTACTTTTACTCAAGAACAAGATCTGAGTACTTCTACTTTGACTCAAGTACAAGACCTGAGTACTTCTACTTTTACTCAAGTACAAGATCTGAATACTTCTACTTTTACTCAAGTACAAGACCTGAGTACTTCTACTTTTACTCAAGTACAAGATCTGAATACTTCTACTTTTACTCAAGTACAAGATCTGAGTACTTCTACTTTTACTCAAGTACAAGACCTGAGTACTTCTACTTTTACTCAAGTACAAGATCTGAATACTTCTACTTTTACTCAAGTACAAGACCTGAGTACTTCTACTTTTACTCAAGTACAAGATCGGAGTACTTCTACTTTTACTCAAGTACAAGATCGGAGTACTTCTACTTTTACTCAAGTACAAGATCGGAGTACTTCTACTTTTACTCAAGTACAAGATCGGAGTACTTCTCCTCCCTCTGACAACTTGACACCATAATAATAATAATAAAATACCGGTGCATGGATGGTTTAACTTCCAGTTGTAGTTCCCATACAGCCGAACAACACAATTTAAGAGAGATGATAAAAGATCCTCACCTCTCGTCCCGGAGCTGCCGCGGCAGAGACATGATTGTTATCCCGGGATTAGAGTGAAAAACACGGGAAGAACTGAGACTTCTGTCCGGAGAGAAGCTTCTTCTGTCGGATAAACTCTGAGTCACACACCGCTCTGAAGCTGCAGAGAGAAGTGAAACAGGCAGGAAGCCAGAGGTCCCTGACACACCACAGGATGGTGCGTTCAGAGGCGGGGAAATAGTCGTGTAAATAATTGTAAATGTATATTGTATGTTTACATACATTTAGATACAGTGCTTCTCAAAGTGTGGTCCATGATGAATTGGAAATGGGGGACCCTGATGTAAACAAGACGAAAGTCTTTCTCTGGTCTGCATCCCCTTAACAATTTTATGTTTTGAGCTGTATTGTACTGTACCCAATATACAAGCTGTTAATACACGTTTCAATCAATCAAACAATCAGTCCGCGGACCACTGGTGGTCCGTGAGCCCCGCCTAGTGGTCCGTGAGTATATTGGTAAAATGTCACATTTGAAATAAATAAATAAATAAAAGTTTTCCGCACTCTCGCGAGAATATCTCTGCAATCAATGGAGCGAGCTTAAGTTTCACTTTCGATTGCATGATATAGCCAGGCGCAACACCTTCATCACACATGTGGCCACTTGTTTGTAAAATGTTCAGGCAATTTGTAAAAAACGATGTGTTTTGGGATATTTGTGGAGTTAGGTGGTCCGCGAATGTTTTTTTATTGGTTAAGTGGTCCTTGGTATGCAAAAGTTTGAGAAACACTGGGTTAGAGCTATAAATACTTCCGCTGTTATTCATGATATTTCAGAAAAAGGGGAAACCACACTTCCCCAAACTGTGAAACCATCTGGAGAGAGTGTGTGTTTGTGTGATACGGAGAGGGAGGTTTGTTCTGTATTTACTCTCATTAAACAGATTACATGTGGAAGTTATTTATGGCTATCTAAGATGTAATAAAACAAATCAGAAAGGTCACTTCCAGGGAGGGGCGCCCCTTGCGAACAGGCAAGGCAGGCAACTGCTTGGGGCCCCGGACCAGAAGGGGGCCCCCAAAGAAGGTAGATTAAGAAGGTCCACAGCAACGACAACATGAATCACCCTTTCATTTACTGCAACGACATGTCGGGAAACCCCTTCAAGGCGGCCCCATGCGTAGCGCGCCATCAAATGCTGCTTCTTAGTCTAAGTTTCGTTGCCTTGCTCTGCTCGGGGGGGG